AAGTAGTATTACAATATATTCCAAGGTTTACGATTTTGTTTCTTTTTTAGCAATACTATTTTCTGTATTTATAAACATGCATTTATTCTCTTTCTTAAAGCCTCTCAAAAAGTATCTTTTTTTTTTTTTAACTTTTTCCCTCAGCATCTCCAAGGGTCTAGACCAGTACTCTTCAAGAGAATTACAATGTGAGCCACAAATGGGAACTACATATGCAAATTTTCTAGTAGTCACATTAAAAACTAGTAATAGGTTAATTTTAATAATTTATTTAGCCAACATATCTAAAAAATTATCATTTCAGTATAATACAAAAAACTTGATGATACAGTACTTTGCTTTTTGATTTCATTACTGATATTCAAAGCCTCACTTATATTTTATACTTCACATTTTGATTCAGACCAGCCACATTTCAAGTGCTCAATGTAGCAATGGCTACCATATTACACAGCACAAATCTGGACAAAAAGTCCTGCCTAATTACTAAGTAACCTGAAAATGCTTTTAAACACAGAACTTCTAAGAAGTTCCTTCTATTAAAGAAATGTTTTAACTCTTAAATGAGTGTCATGAGAAGCTTCAAATGAAAATACACAAATGAAAAGTGTCTTTTTCATAATTTTAAAAATGTAAATAAGTTAAAAGGTAGCGAAGACACTAAAATTTAAGATTGCCAAATTAGAAAGTTAAAGTAGATCTTTTTAATAAAACAAAAGAGAGGGAACAAAAGGGAAAAAGTCATGATGAAGGTTCATAAAGAATACTCAAAATTCAGTAAGACACGATGGGTAGAAAAAAAAAAAAGAATACTCAAATTACATTTTTAAAACCCAGATGAGGTTAGAAACTTCATACTTTTGTATGTCTCTTGAGATTTTCCTTTTACAATCTCCTCCTTAAAAAGTGATCAGAATTCTCTTGAAGAACATACCTGATTTTTGGCTGCAACTCCAATTGTTCTATTTTTTGATCCAAATGATATAACCGATCTAGAAAATACACAGAATGTTTCAAAAATGTTAAAATGCATAAATGTAGACATTTTAAACTGACAGGAAGGAAATCCTTCTATAAATTTCCTACTCAAGCTGGAAGTGGACAAGTGTAGCACAATTTTGGAGTCTATAGCCTTTGTCACATACTCAAAGGGGGCTTCCACTTAACTGCTGCTCTGAGAACCCAATCTAGGTGGCAGTCCTACCATACCAAATGTCTCAAGGGTAATCCTCCAGGTCCCTAATTATTAGGAAGTGAATATTAATTCTGAAAATGTTTTCAATAATTAAAGGGTATGTATTAACTTGACCCCACACACAACTACACACGCCTGTAATCCTAGCACTCTGGGAGGCCAAGGGGGGCAGATCGTTTAAGGTCAGGAGTTCGAAACCAGCCTGAGCAAGAGCAAGACCCTGTCTCTACTCAGAATAGAAAGAAATTAATTGGTCAACTAAAAATATATAGGAAAAATTAGCCAGACATAGTGGCGCATGCCTGTAGTCCCAGTTACTTGAGAGGCTGAGGCAGGAGGATCACTTGAGCCCCGGAGTTTGAGGTTGCTGTGAGCCAGGCTGACGCCATAGCACTCTAGCCTGGGCAACAGAGTGAGACTCTGTCTCAAAAACAAAAAGTGACGTAAACTCTATCTTCTTAAAGTAAAATACGATGTAACTCTACCTTTCTAAATATTTAGATTTGTACAGAGTCATCAATTCTGTACAAATCTAAATATCATTGTCATTTCTATTTTTATTCTAATATACCATCTGCATCTTTAAGAATCAAAAGTTTTTATGTAAACTCAAGCAAGCGAATATCTAAGTTATATCTCTGGAGTTTAAAGAGCACAAATGAGGTTCTTATCTGGAAGACTGTACTTGAGAAAGCCCAGTAAAAATGATGTAGAAAACGTACCACAGCAGAATGGAATATAAACACTGAGGAGGGAATAATCACTTACACTAAATCTACTTTGAAGAAATGAAAAGTGATTTGTAACTGTGAGACAGTCTTCTCAGCACTGAAAAATGGAATACACAGTAACACAGAGCAGAGACAAGCTCAAGAAAAGTCTTCTGAGGAAGAAGTGAATTAGGTTTTGGATTAGAGTGAGTTAATTCCAGATTACTAATCCAAATGTACTCCTAGGCAAGTAGGAGTAACCGTAAATGAGATGAGCAAAATGGGAATATACTGACAGCATTAAATACCAGGCTAAATAAAGTTTAAATTTGCTGTAACACAAACACCTTGAAACTACAGTATCTGAGCAGGTGCTAAATAGCATCCTAAAATGGAAGTGTCCAAGCAGAGGACCTTTAAGAAACCGTCCAAAAACAGAGTATCATACTAAGCTTAGAGTACCTATACACTTGCAGAATGGATCTTCTCATTTTTCCAAGAGGAGAATCAAACTAATTGTACTAAATAGAAATTAAGAGTGGCCAAAGCAATTGAGTTGGCCATATAGTTTAACAAGCAAATTAAGAGGAACTCCAACACTGCCCTCAGTTTACGTTTTTCAGAGCCATACCTGTTGTCTTTAGTTTTACACAGTCTTCTCTATATCCACATAACACAATTTTTTTCCTACTCTCCTCTGAATACTTTCTTTCATTGGATGTAAGAAACAACAGATGCAAACCCCACCTAGTCATGCAAACTTTAATACTCTTTTCTTTCTTACTAAATTCCAATTACAGAGCCTTTAGCACAGCGAAAGAAAACTTAAAGCTGCAAAGAGGTCATCCTATGGGTTGCTTGGGAGAACTGTCTTCCCAATGTTACTAACATTGACAAATACTTTATTTTCTGATTTTCCATTAACTTTCATGAACATTCAGCTGCACACAAGTAATTTTATCAGCCCATTCTGCCTTTGGGTTTCAACGTTTCACTTTTACTTTACAGCTTGGTCTTAGGGCATTTGAAAAAAAAAGAATACGTACAGTAATTTCCTTGAGAAAGTAGTTTTCATCGATGTACATGCAACGCATATTTTTATATATATGTACATTTATACATACATACACACACACACACACCCCACGCGGGTATATTTTTATATATACACACACATTCTCTCTTTAGAAAATAACCACCCTAAAAAGTTGCTTTTTAAAAGGTTGCCCATTGCCCACTCCATGCTGCTGTAGAATTTAACGTCTAAAGCAGCGACAACATCCATCCTCTTAGGGCGTTCTAGCACAAAACTATGTAATTTTTATTGTCTCTTTTTGGTAAATTGTCCAAAATAAATAAAAATATGGTTTAGGATTCGTCATGAATGGCTCTCATACAATAGGCAAAAAAAAAAAAAAAAAAAAGGTGATCTGCATCTTCCGAAAATGATCCCGGGAACCAAGTACAACAACGTTAGAAGCCAAGAGACTGGGTAAGAAGAGATGGATTAATCTTCCACAGAAACGATTCCGTGGTTGCTAACAACAGTCCGCCAGCTCACCGGACGAGCAGCCCGACAGAGGCTCTAGAAGCTTCCAGTTCATTTCGAGATTCACAATGCGGGGAAAAAAAGCTCGCCAGCCCCGGCTCCGCGGCGCGCAAAGATATGCGCGGAGGGGGGTACAAGGTGGAGGCGGCTCAGCCAGCTCAGAGAAGCCGGGTGGAGGGCCGGGGGCGGCCACGGAAGGCGCAGGCTGCAGCTGGCCAAGAAAAGGGAGCGAGTCCCGGACTTTGCCTCAGCCCGGCTCCCAGTAGGAAGCCCGCCCAAAGTGACGACCCCGGGAGACTCGACTCTCGGACACTCCTCGTCCCCGGGCATCCCCAGGACACCCCCACTCCACTTTGGGGCGGCAAGCCCCACACCCCTCTTTTTGGGAAAGGTCCCGCCCGGCCGGGTCGCGGCTCCCCACACCGTCTTCGCTCGCCGCGGCGTTCCGTAGCCGGCTCGCGAGCCTGGGGTCCCCACGCTCCCGGGCCCCAGAGCCTGCCCCCGGACCCCCGCAGACTGCCACTTACGGGGTGCACCGGTCGCTGAACTCGTTGGCGATGGTCTCGATGCCCCCGGCCCGGGCCACCGCGATGTAGCAGCTCTGCGAGCCTACGTCCAGCCCCACCACCGACATGGCCGGCTCGCGGTCCGCCTCCGCCTCGGGTCTGGGTCTGCTTCCCCGGCCGCCGCCTGCTCCTCCGGCCGCCGCTTCCTGTCCCGGTAGCGCGCGGCTTAGCCCGCGGGGTCCGGCCGCTCCGCTGCCACTAGGACGGACTCGCGGAGAGTCGGCCTGTCAGGCGTCTCGGCTTCCCCGGGAGACGGCGGCGGTGGCAAAGGATTAACCCTGGGCTCCGCGGCTCGCTCCGCAGCTCGGGCTGACTGCCGGCCTCACCCCGCCGCGGCTCGCACACCAGCGCCGGCGCCGATCTACCGACCCAAAAGGGGAGGTCCCAATTCCTCAGCTTTATGTATCTCACTGATGAGAACTTTCCAGAATCTGCGGCATTTACTCACCGGCGCCTCCACCGGCCCCTCCACGTGCCACTTCCGCTTCCTTCTTCTCGAGCCTTCTCGAAAGATTCTACCCAATGGGTGCCTGGTCCCCCTGAGAACGGCCGCCGTTGCCATGGTGGCAGGAAGGCCGCTCCCGCGCCATTGGCTCAAGCAGCCCAAGTTGACCTGCCTCCGCCCCCATCCGCCCTAGCAGGAGGCTTTTTTCTATCCTAATAAAACAGGCAATGAAAAATGACTCGAAAACTCGTAATATTCACAATTTACTATTGGACGGTGGTGTCTGACCCCTAGACTCTAAAGGGAGATTGAGCAAGAGGAGATAGACCCCACCCCCTACTTCTGCGTGGGACCCCAGACCCCAAGTCGCTGGGGAGGCGCCCGACTGTCAGGAGAGCATGTTGGGAATCGTAGTCAGGCTGGGAGACCCGTGCGCCGTGCATGCTGGGATGTGTAGTCCTGGCCCCGGTGCATGCTGGGATCCGGCTTTGTCTTGGGGAACTCGAGGGAGAGGCTGGGTTCTTTCCAGCGCGTTTGCGCTCGTTCTCTGGCTACAAGCGTCATTTTGTTTGGTATTCACTTCTATTATTGTCTGGGTAACGGCAACTGGTGCATTACGACTTAGAGGAAGGAACGTCAATTTAAACCGCTTATACATAATAAGCAGAGGGCTTATGTTAAGTGTTCGTGTATTCAGCAGGCAGAATGTTCTTTTGTGGAATAAAAAAGTGATAGTTTTTTTTTTTTTTGAAAGCAGTTTTTAGTTGTGACGCAATGTGGAAGGCTGTCCAAGGTATTACTTACTGCCTATTTTTGATACGTCTGCTTTAAGCCTAGCCTGCCGTCCCTAGCCATAAATTCCTACGTAAGTTTTGCTTCTTGTTTGACATGAAACATCTTTTGTTTCTTTCCCTGAAAAGCCGTGTCCCCACTAACTTATGTTCAGTAAAGAGAAAAGCAAAGTAAGAAAAGTAGAGCTGTGCTGCTGCTATTATCAGGTCTTTCATACCCTTTTGTGTCTTTTTAAGTTTGCTTGGGATCCTGTTTACCTTACCTCAGACACATGGAAATAAGCCCAGTTTAAACATGTTATTGGGTAAGTGTGTAATTGGTTAAGGAGTTGTGACCTAAAGTTGGAAAAATCTGACTCATAGGGCAATTCCTCCTCGTCCAGCAAGACAAGTAGGTTAAGAGGCAAGACAAGTGAGAGGCAAGGCCAGAGGCCCCGGTTTATGTTACAGTGCATGTAAATTGTATGTGCTCTTTGATGGCCTGCCTCTTGGGCAAGTTACTTAACCTTAACATGCTTCAGTTAACTCGCCTTTCAAATGGGAACGATTATAGCAGCCATCCTAGGGGTTGTGTATTCTTAAGTTTGGCAATATGGTTAGCTATAGCTGTGGTTAGCTATAAACATCTCAAACACTGCGTCCTCCTCCTCATCCATCATCAACTTTTTTACATATCAAAACCTTATAGCAAAAGCTGTGGAATCGTGGCAGTTTTGAACAGAAAGGACCTTTGAGATTATTTGGTCTGCCTCCCACATTTTATGTGAGAAAACTGCCGTGCAGAGAGGAGAAATGAGCAGTCTTTGGAGCCAGACAGATTTGGGTCAGATTCAAATCCTGGCACTCACTACCAAGATGCTTTATATAAAAGAGCACCAGCCCTCCTAGAGTCTAAATTCATGGCTATTGAATCCTGGCTATTCTTCTTATTAATTTGTGAGCTATGTGACCTTAAGATAATTACTAAACCATCCTGTGTGCCACCTCATAGTGTTTATGTAGTGATGGGAAATGTATATAAAGTACTAAACATATATCATTATTATGTATTAATAGTATTGCCTACATACTGTGTGTGTATTCTTTTAACAAATTCCTCTTTGCCTTCAGTTTCCTCAACTGTAGAATGGAAATAATACCTATTTTTGCTGGGATGTTGGAAGGATTCAATATAAATAAAACATGGTAGTAAATGAAGTATGATAGTAAGCATTTGATACATTGTAGTAATAGTAATATTGTGCAAGAAATGCCAACACCAGAATGTCAATCTCAGCTTACACTGTTGTAGATGCTGAGTTGTATAGTCATGTTATAACTGTCTCTTATTTAATCAGTTCACCTTAACTATTTAGCAGAACAGGTGAGTGATGAAAAAGTGTAAGAACTATCATAATTATTATCTAATTAAAAATTCTTATCATTACTTTATATATATAATTTTATATATTTTATTACATTTTTATTACACAGTTTCTCACACTATTTATGTCATAGTATCAGAAAATTTACAAAGAAACTTAGACCAGGTAGAAACAGTCCCTACAAATTCTTGTTAAGTAATTATGGATACAAAGGTAAATACAGAATTAAGATGAGCTTAATTTGCCTGCTAGCAGCTACTATTGCAATTATTGGGTTTTATTCCGCATTTGTTTTAGAGAACAAGAAGGTTCTTAAAATTGGAAGCAGAGGCAGCTCCCAAAGAACAATAAAACAGAAATGCAAAACTGAAACAACAGAAACCCAAACAAAAATGCCATTCAAAGAGGTAATATATACTGTGTTTCCCTGAAAATAAGACCTACCCATTAAATAAGCCCTCACAGGATTTCTAAGCATTTGCACAGTATAAGCCCTACCCCGAAAATAAGACCTAGTGATGGTCGTAGCTATGCAGCGTATCTGCACAGCCCATGCATTTCGTCCTGGAGCAGTAAAGAAGATGAGAGCCTTTCTCACCTGCCCCATCGTGACAGCTACTATTCCAGAGGTGACAGGAAAGTTGCAGCAGCCCTACCAACAAGGTTGACTCCCCCCGTCAGGTCCCGGCCATCCTGTGCATGCTGCAAGCTGAGGCTTCGAGGGGAAAATAACACATCCCCTGAAAATAAACCCTAGGGTATCTTCTTGAGGAAAAATAAATATAAGACCCTGTCTTATTTTCGGGGAAACATGGTAGTAGATATAAAAAGCTGTGACAGGCTTCCTTGAAAGGAAGGAAGAGATAGGCAAAGGAGTGGATGTGCAGATAGAGCAATAAACATGAACGTGCACATGACCTTCAACTTCTGTTATGAATCAGTATTTTGGTGACCTCTATATACAGCATAATGGAAGGTGATGGAGGGTTACAGAAGTGGCATAAAACTTGTTCTAAATCAACATGCCTTTTGGTGGCTTCTCCAAAATGCCAGTACATCACGAATTCTAAGGTATCTGAAATCTTGTCTGTTTGAGCCTCTTTTGATATTTGCTTACCAAAGGATTTTTGTTTCCTTCTTATATAGTAACTTAAAATTTATCCTTTACAAGTTAATTGGTTCTGCTAAAACCTATTTTGTCCTTATTTTAATTTATATTAGAATGATCATCTAAAAATAGAAATGCATGAGGGAAATCATGCAGGTAACAGACACTTAGACAAAAGTAAACATAGGCTGGGCACAGTGGCTCATGCTTGTACTTACAGCACCTTAGGAGGCCAAGGCAGGAGGATTGCTTGAGCCCAGGAATTCAACACTAGCCTGGGCAACAGAGCAAGACCCCAGCTCTACAAAAAGATTTAAAAATAAGCCAAGCATGATGGTGCACACCAGTAGTCCTAGTTATTTAGGATACCTGGGTGGGAGGATCCCTTGAGCCCAGGAGTTTGAGGTTGCAGTGAGCTATGATTGTGCCACTGCACTCTAGCCAGGGCAACAGAGTGAGACCCTTTCTCTAAAAATAAATAAATGAAATAGTAAATATAGAAGTAAGGTAACTTTATCCTGTCTTCTAGCAGCCAAGATATAGGAAAAATATATGAAATGTTTCTTCCAATCTAAAAAGAAGCATCATATTTATTAATATAACAAATATGGCTAACCACTCAATGTGTAGGAAAATGTTCATGGCTGCCCCTCCAAACTCTCTGTGAGCCACTTTCCCACTGAAACACCATGCTCAGGCACACTGGCCACCTTTCCCATGTCAAAGTTCTGCACTTGTTCCCTTTCCTATAAAGCACTTTCTCAGGATCTTGGCTAGAGCCTTCAAGGCTCAGTTCAAATCTCCTTCCCATAGAGAAAGTTCCTGAATGCTTGCCCAGTAAGCACATTACCTTTCCCAAAGGTACACCTGTTTCTTTGTTCAATTATTAAGGAGAAGCTGGTGCCAGCCTTGGCTCTGAGGGTGATCACTGATTGGCTTACGCCAGTCAGCACATCTCACTCCCCTTGGCCACAGTCATGGGTTCAGGGACGGGCCCGTGACCTAGGCAGCCCAGCCAGGGTGACTCTCAGGCTTAGAATGCCGGGATATGCTTTGTCCTTCTCTGTCCACTTTCCTTCTCCTCCCTCCATTCTTCTTCCTCCAGGCACTGTTGTGTGAGATTATGAGGCCTAGAACCATCACTTTGACCTACTACCTTCCTGAAAAGGAAACTGACACACAGAAGGGGATAGAACTAAGAAAATTACAGCTGGAGCTGAAGACATAAGTCAGTCCTGAGACCCACCCTCACTCTGGATTTAAGTTATGTGAACCATACATTTCCTCACTGAGTAAGCTAGCTTGAATTGGATATTCGATAATACTTGACAATATAAGCAAAAGCGTTTCTTTTCTTTTCTTTCTTTCTTTCTTTTTTTTTTTTTTGAGACAGAGTCTCACTCTGTTGCCCAGGCTAGAGTGAGTGCAGTGGCGTCAGCCTAGCTCACAGCAACCTCAAATTCCTGGGCTTAAGCAATACTACTGCTTCAGCCTCCCGAGTAGCTGGGACTGCAGGCATGCGCTACCATGCCCGGCTAACTTGTTCTATATATATTAGTTGGCCAATTAATTTCTTTCTATTTATAGTAGAGACGGGGTCTCGCTCTTGCTGGTTTCGAACTCCTGACCTCGAGCAATCTGCCCACCTCGGCCTCCCAGGGTGCTAGGATTACAGGCGTGAGCCACCACATCTGGCCTATCAAAAGTGTTTCTATTAGTCTTCACTGTTATCCATTTATTTCCTTTGCAATATATACCACAATAAGCAATGATCTTGGTGTGTGCACGTATGTTTTACTTCCTCTCTCTAAATTGTATGACTCAGAGGGCAGTGATGGTTTTTCTCCTTTACAGTGCTCTATAGATGCTCAATACATATTTGATGAATGATTGAATGTAAAACTGTTAAGTAAACTTACTGGGGAAAGGGCCATTTATCAGCTTTCCTCTAATACAGAGTTTCTCAACCTTGGCACTGTTGACATCAGGCTGGACAATTTTTTGTTGTGTGAGCTGTTCTGTGGAATGGCCTCTACCCACTAGATACCATTAGCAAGGTCCTAGCTCTCCCCTAGTCCCCTTGTGACAACCAAAAATGACTCTAGACATCGCCAAATGTCCCTAACAGCCAAAATTGTCTCTGGTTTAGAGCTATTGTTCTCAATCTATAGTTTTGATTTAAGCCCAAGACAAAAAGGGCATAGTTTCAGGACATGTTTTTAAGAGAAAATAGAGTGCTGTCTGATTTCTGAACCACAGAGGATGGGAGACAGGAGAATTATAACTCAGCTCTGAATGAGTCAAACAAATCCAGACTGCATTAGATCCTATAAGAGAGGAGGGACATATGTCTCTAATTTGGCTACAGGACATGCCCACTGTTGTGAAAATGTGCACTGCTCACTCTGAGAAGAAATCTTCTCTGTGGTTGAAAAGTATTTTTGTGGTTATAAATTATTTTCTTCAGAAATGTACTTATAACTCACTGTTTTCATTAGCCTTAGCTTCCTTACTTATGAAATAATAATTAGAATGCCTGCATAGTTACTGAGAATTATTAAGTAATCTTTACATTTATGGTTACCTTAGCCCTTCTATTGTA